GTGTCGATTAAATTAATCGCCGCCGGTGGTCCCCCCTAGTGACCTGGACTTCGACCTAAATTTGCATATTTAGGCGGTCCTTTTAAACACCCCTGATTGATACCAATCAGAGGTATCAATTTTCATTTTTCCGCGCGACTTGTCCGTCACGTGGCTCACCCTCGCGGGCGGAAACCGTATCTCCGACACCTGCAGTCGGTAATGCTATTCTTTTCAGAATAGTCTTCTTTACCGGGCGTCGGTAAATGCCTCTTTCAGCATTTTTGGCCCATTTCACGACAGAAAAATTCGATTTTGCAGAATTTACTGTTCTTTTATTCACTTTCTTTGATTTTTCGGTCGAGGAAAGTCTCCCGCGCCTGAGACCACCCCCCCCCCCAGGTGACGAGGAGAACAGCACCCAGAGCAGCCGGAATAACCCCTCCCAAGCGAAAAATCAATACTTTCGAATTTTCGTCGGGGAAAATCCACTCGTCCTCTCAAGGTCGTCTCCCCCGGGTGTCGAGGAGACATAACATCGAGTTTCGGAGAAAATCTTCCCCTGACAAAAATTTCGTGCATTTTGAATTCTATTTTTCCCTTTTCAAGGAATAAATAAAATTCGTTACATTCGAGGGGGTTCAATTTTCTCGATTCTCCTCGTATTATCTATGCGATAATTTTCACTTACCCATTTTCCAGGGTTTTCTTTTCTACTCCATTGGCGTGGCCCCACGTCGGGCGCCATTTTGTAAGGATATTTTCCCGGGTTGTTCACCCAGGAAAAATCCAAACTACTTTTTAGCCGTCTCTATCGCTCAATAGGGCGCCAGCCGAACCTTCACGGGAGGTTCGACGAAAACCGGCCTCTGAGGCAAACTCGTCCACTCAGAGGACTTTTTGGCTGGACAATAGGTTGCCCAGCTAACATCAGCGTGATACGGTAGAGTGGGCGAGGTCCACCAGGAGTATTACCGTCACATTCCACGGCCTTTGCAAGCCGTGGATTATGCCTCGCGGCACAAGCTCCCTANAATGGCTTCTCCAGACATCCACCACTTCCAGCACACCGAGAGATTATTGCAACCTCTCGGTTCAAGCGCTCGCGTGCGACTAACTCGGAATCTTACTAGGGCCTTGCCTCCTAGTCTGGATATCTCGGCGACGATAGGTCATTCCGTTACCCTATCCCCACCAATCAACCCGACGGGATCACGGAGGTACCAGTCCTTTCACCTGGCCGTTGGTCCCTAGCCTACTCCGACATAGCCTATAGAATNTGCCTCCTAGTCTAGATATCTCGGCGACGATAGGTCATTCCATTACCCTATCCCCACCAATCAACCCGATGGGATCACGGAGGTACCAGTTCTTTCACCTGGCCGTTGGTCCCTAGCCTACTCCGACATAGTCTATAGAATCGCCCAGTTGAACGGCCTGTACGTCGGCCCCATTTCCTCTAGCACATGCTGGGCGAATTCTAATACGGCGATAGTCTAGTACGCCCTCCAGAACTCCAGGGGTCGCGGTTTTACCCATAACCGCTATGCCTTAGGTCTTTCATGGGTTTGTGGTTTATCTCACCTAGTCCCGGCTTTCTTCAGCCGCTTCTAGGTGTCGCTACTTATCTCTCTTCAACAATTTTGCGAGTTCACTTTTCATTCTGAGGGGATTTCAACCCGTAACGAGAATATCTCGTTACAAAACATAACAGATCAATTATATCAATAATGAAATAATTTATTCAGCAAATAAAAACTCAGCAAAATACAACGCAATACAAAAATACTGAAAATGTATCAATTTTAACGATCAACAATTTGTATACTTCGAAAATACTAACATTTTAATTCTACAATTGTCAACAATGTTAATACTAATGATATTACATAAGCATAGACCGTAGCTAATGTAACAAACAAGGACTATAATAGTCCTTGCTTTCTCACACTTTCGCAAATTGGCCGAAATTCTTGAAGGGGTGGAATTGTACTTCACCACCGACGGCCACCAGCATCTCATTGGGCAAGCCGCCCCACCACAACACATCTGAAGAGCCGAGCAACTCGCAAAGTTAACAGTCAGAATCCGCGCCCCGAGCCGCGAACACTTCAGCTCTCCTGAGCTCTCCTGAAAAATAAAAATTTGTCTTAGAATTTTTATTAAATTAAACTTAGAGTCCCTGTGACCAACGGTAATTAAATTCAATTTGATATAGTCTCCTTTGGGAGTTGGAACATTGAGTTCCGTCAATAACGTGGAGTCCCTTCTGGATTTCCACATTTTATTATCTTAATCTAAATTCAATTTCATTCCCAATTTATTAAAATCATTTTATTAACCCGAAACCGATTGAATTTATACGGTGCACTGAACCTGACTGGTAGCTTCGTGAATTCATCGAGTTAATTAATAGAAATTCGTCAAAAGTAAATTTAATTAAATCAAAATAAATTCAATGGAAGTAAATTCAGTGAAGTTGAATACATGAAAAGTGCCTCACCTTCATCTTAACCGTCGATGTTGAGATATCGTCTTGTCGATCATCCGTGGGCACCCTCAGAATATTATTCTGTTGTTGTTCCGAACGATCGCTCTACGATTTTTCAATAATTGAACGAATTTTCATATCTTTTGAAGTGACGAGTGACTAGCTGAGTAGACCTGACTGCTTGGTTAGGCTCTAGATGATTAATTAGAGTGAATTACATCAGATTAATGGTTTTCGCGTGAGTGACAGACTCGACTGGCTCTTTCGGCTATTCGGACAGGTCCACTCCGTGATAACGATTTTTCCCTGATTGTTCCCCTTTTATTCTGTGAAATGATCGTCAAATATTATTGAAATCGACTGGTGTGGAACTCGTCGAATGACTTTAGATTTATCTATTTCCATTTGATTGAGATCACGTTTTCTGGATTTTAACGATGGACAGACGAATTATTTCTATTCATTTTAATAAAGCAAATTAGATTTCAATTTAAATATTAACATATTTTGTTACAAGTATTCCGGAGAGTTTTACCGAGGAGACGATGTGAATACCGGCAGGCTGATTACGGCCGCTGCCACATGTAGCCCCACGAGAATTCTCGAAATATTTTCTAATATCTGTCGGTCATGCGCCCGTCAGTCTCAGTGCATCCGACGCGAGACATTCTTAAAATAAATAAAGATAACATTTGCTCATCAGAATTACTTTAGTTCATCAGTGAAATTTCAAATATAAACTTTACGAGTGTCAATTCGGAATTTATCGAAGAATCGAGTGGAGATCCATAGTCCCAGAGGATCTCATCTCTCTATTGGCCCGCTGAAGCTGCAGAATCTTGCATTTTCCCGAGGATAGGACTGATCCAGTGAAGCAAAATTGTACAACGCGGATTTGAACGAGTAACGGTAAGTAGGGAAGAAAAAACCAATTATGACCCGGATTATTATGACCCGGTCGATTGATCCTCCAAACAATTAGATAGCAAAGAAATCGTAAATAAAATTCGAGAATAGCAATTCAACCTGGTTACGGCAAGTCATGTGATGGTCGGCTACCGCTCGACGACTATTGCTCTATTCGACTTCCCCAAAAATCTCGAAAATTATTCAAACTTCTTCGGAAACGAACTCGATGTAAAATCTAGAAAATAATTTATTCACTTTTCTCAGATCTGACGGGAATACGTAACAAAAATGGTGCTAAGTGTGGAGTTATTCTCTTCCTTACAGGACAGAATAGAATAGGATAGAATTTTCATATTTGAACGGGAGAATTTTCATTTCCCTTCCAAAACACATAATTCTCAAGAAATCTTTCGCCAGCCGTAATTATCCCCAATTTTAACAAAATGACGGTACCAGTGATGCTACTTACTTTCCTCGATCTCTCGATAATTTTTTCCCTGTTAATTCAAATTATCTGCTTAATTATTTGTACAAAAATCTTAGAAATTTCCTGTAAAAATGCAAAAATCCTACACAAAGTTCATAAAAAAAAGAGGAGCATCAGTTCCCCACTCCCTTCTTTTCAACAACAGTAGAATCGAAATTTTTTTTTTTACATTGCGTCAATAACTTAATTGAACGTCTATTGACCTTTAATTATTTTCGACTCATTGACAAAAAATTTATTCTACAATGGATCCCAACATTCTGCCAGCATCAAAAGACGATTTAGAAGAAGCCCGTGAACTTAATTTGCTTCTATATTCTAAATTAAAACTGATCGAAGAGCAAGCTCAAATGATCAAGGAATTAAATGAAACAGTAAAAGAAATGCGTGAGAATAACAGACAGACTAGCACCGCACACTCCGTTAATGATTTTGATCGCCTTAATGTAAATGATTCGAGTTCACCTGCAGTTAATGTCATCCCAGATCAATTGACAGATCTTCACAAACAAATCGAAAAGCTTAGAACACCGAGAAGAAGTCAAATAATTGATTCAGTAATTACAGGAAATGTTACGCCTCACGACAGTTTGAGAATTACTGTAAAAGCCGCTCTCGCTTACGTACCTACGTTCGACGGTTATAACATAACCGTGACGCAATTCATGCGCGCTTGCAACCGCGTATGCTCGATGATGAATCAAGGAACGGCGCCCACCTGCTTAGCTTTGCTTCGCCAGAAATTTGAAGGTCGCGCAGGCACCACACTGGAAAATTTGGAGTATCAATCACCTCAGGAGCTTGAAACCAAACTGTGTGAATTTTTCGATCCTTATCGCACGGCCAATCAATTCAAAACTGCACTTGAAGATGTGTCAAAAAATCGCATGAGCATGTAGTCGACTATATTAACAAAGTCAAAAATCTCTACACTGATATTGTTAACACCGAGAAACTCGAACGTGGCTTCCTTCCAGCTGAAGAAGACCTTAAACTTGAAAAAGACGCTATCCAAGCTTTTCTTAATGGTCTCCCACCTTCTCTGCGCATCCAATGCCTGACTAAACCTCACTCTACTCTCGAGGAAACTTTCAAAAATGCTATCGAAGTTTACAAAATATATGAGCGTGACGCAGGTAGATTTGTTGAGCCTGAAATTTTCATTGGTGTTAGCCAGACGAAACCTCAAGGTCAAAAACAGAAGAATAATGCAACTCCACAATCTAGTATTAAGACTATTAATCCCTCCCAACCATCCAATGCGAATGTAAATCAGCAGAACCCAAATAATGGCACCAACAATGTTCAGAATCCTAATAATCAACGAAATTTTAATCAAAATGGCTATCGCACTAATTACCCTAGGAATAAAAATCGCAATGACAATCGTTACCAATGGGGTAATGGCAGGAATTATGGCAATCGTAATTACAACAATCCACGAAACGATCAGAACTCAGAATAACAACGTAAACTCTCCTAATATACAGAACAATAAATCAAATTATATCCTGAATACCTTTTGCGAATTATGCCGTGTCCCGGGACACACTCTGTCTATTTGTAGAAAGCTGGCTTACATGAATCGTCAAAAGGAAACGCAGTCAAAAAACGGGCAACTCCCCGATCAGAATATCGGCGGGACTGCGGGGAGCCAAACCAACCCATCACCCTCGCCGAGCCAAGTCACTCCACACCTCTCAGAACAAATTTCAGTCAATCCAAACAATCCATCTCTCACAACTTCCAACAACCAATAAATTCCTTCAATGATACTAACAAAATCACTGAAATCAATCTTCCAACAATCGCTCCTTTTCCCTCTGGAAATCCCTTTCCATCAACCAGCAAAACTCCAGTCCCATCCAATGACGATGAAATTATCAACTCAAAATATTTATCAAAATTATCAGAAGACGAAATTTTTATGGTAAAACGAGAACGTGAATTAAATGCCATTAAACAATACGAAGGACTCCGAGCTCTCTGGTAACAAAAACCCTCTTTATTACGCAAAGGCCTAGGCTATGATGGCAACTCACCTCCTCGAACGAACAATATTGTAGAATTTAGTAAAAGCAATGGTGATGAGGTGCATGGGAATCCAAGCCCGGCGATTCACAGCGTCGAATCTCGCGCCGACAGCTCCCGCTCAGAGCAACCTCCCGTAGAATCTTCTCCGCCGCCCGTTAACAACACTGTAAATAACCCAATTCATGAAAACATGGAAATTCTTCCCCCTCAGGGAAATTATAAATGAAAAAAAAAGAAAGAATCAAAGATTCAAATCAAAGATCTGTCAAATAAATCGATTCATAAAATTTCAACTGATAATTGCAAAAGTACAAGAAAATTTTATGAAATATCTTCAATTCCCAGAGTCATCGGAGCTCCCTGAAAAACCATTGAAATCCAAAAGGAAGAAACAGACACACAATTTGCTCGCATTATCCATATGCGCATTAAAACAGCTAGAATCGCATTAGTAACTCTACACTCATTTCAATTAAAGTTACCCACAATAATGATGATTGACAGTGGTGCAGAAGTCAATCTTATCAAATTAGGTGCTTTTGATATGCGTGCTCCTATGAACATTAGAGGAATAATCGAATTACGTGGTATTACTGGTAATATTATCCGGACCATCGGAACTGCTTTCATTAATATTCATAGCCACACTGTCAAATTCCATGTAGTCCATAATCACTTCCCAATTGCTCAGGCGGGAATTATCGGCGCCGAGTATTTCCACGAATTCAAAGCCACGCTTTCTTACGAACATAAAACATTTTCTTTTTCAGACGTAGTAATGGAAATAACGTATGACGATTGCCAAACAATTCCTAAAAACTCTTCTTGTGCATTTGCGGTTAAATTAACGAAAGATTCTCCAACCGTAGGGCTTATACCTGACCTTTACATTACAGACAAAATCTCTTTAATAGGAAGTCCCGAATTGACTATTCGCGGGGAAGCATTCGTAAAGGGTATCAACCATAGTAACGAAGATTTGGCCATTCCGACATCTGTCATAAAAATGGGCCAATATTTTCGGTTAAAAGGCGAACGGGAAGGCGATGCACAGGGCGGACCAGACGATCCGCAGGACGAATATTCCCTCGTACCACCCGATTCACGTGTAGAAAGGCAAAACTTTTTCAATCAAAAAATCAATGGGTTGACTTCATCTATGCCCAGCAGAGTTCCAGCAAAGTTCCAGCAGTTCCTCTGCTATCAACGTAGTTTCTCGGGAAAATCTTACCCCTGATAGAGCAAAAACAATTAAATCGCTCATTCATCTTGATCATTTATCTGAAACAGAACAAGCCGTTATCGACACTATCATCGAAGTTAATCAAGACCTTTTCATTATAAAAGGAGAATATCTTGGTGCCACAGATGTTACTTTCCATCGGATAAATACTATTGATGATCTTCCCATTAATAAGAAACAATATCTTCTACCCCCTGTTCACAAAGAAGAAATAATCAAACAATGTGAGGAATTATTAGCAAAAGGCAAAAGTATGTGGAAAAAGTGTAAACTGAGAAAGTTTTTTTTTTCAGATTTTCAAAGGGTCAGATTTTTCGTTTCTCCAGGAGGAAAGTCGACGTTCGCACAAAATTGAATTTTTTAGCCGGGTGAATGTTAATTCCAGCTATTTAAGCGATGCGCTTAAATACTTTTGAGAGTTCTTTTGAGAACTCTCAAAAGTATGTGGAAAAAGTGGAAGCTGAAAAAAATTTTTTTTCACCGGGGACCAACGTGTCAGATCTTGGATTTTTTCAGGGGGAAAGTCGGTCAAAGGGTCACAAGGGTCACTAGGGCCAAAGTGTCAGATCTTGGATTTTTCCATGGGGAAAGTCGACAAAATCGAATTTTTTAGCCGATCGAAAGTTGATTCTATTTAAGTGATGGACTATTCAGAACTCTTCAAAGTATATGGAAAAAGTGTAAACTGAAAAAGTTTTTTTTTTAGATCTTCAAAGGGTCAGATTTTCCGTTTTTCCAGGGGGAAAGTCGACTTTCGCCAAAATTGGATTTTTTAGCCGGGTGCACGTAGATTCCAACTGTTTAAGCTACGAGCCATTCAGAACTCTCAAAAATATGTGGAAAAAGTGTAAACTAGAAAATTTTTTTTTTCAGATTTTCAAAGGGTCAGATTTTTCGTGTTTCCAGGGGGAAAGTCGACTCTCGCCAAAATCGAATTTTTTAGCCGAGTAAACGTTGATTCCAACTATTTAAGCTACGAGCTATTCAGAACTCTCAAAAGTATGTGGAAAAAGTGAAAACTGAAAACATTTTTTTTTCACCGGGGGCCAAAGTGTTAGATATTGGATTTTTTCAGGGGGAAAGTCGTTCAAAGGGTCACACGGGTCACTAGGGCCAAAGTGTCAGATCTTGGATTTTCTCAGGAGGAAAGTCGGTCAAAGGGTCACAAGGGTCACTAGGGCCAAAGTGTCAGATCTTGGATTTTTCGAGGGTAAAGTCCCCAAATTCGAATTTTTTAGCCGAGTGAAAGTTGATTCAATCTATTTAAGTGATGGACTATTCAGAACTCTCAAAACTATGTGGAAAAAGTGTAAACTGAAACAGTTTTTTTTTTCAGATTTTCAAAGGATCAGATTTTCCTTTTTTCCAGGGGGAAAGTCGACTTTTGTTACATATGACTACGTATCCAATAAAACAAAAGGTTATGATTGTCTTAAAAGTTTTCTGTCATGAAAAATACATGTCCAAATGCGCTAGTTCGAGAATCGAAAGAAGAGAAAATTAAAGGGACTCGAAGATACAACATTCGACGGAGGATAGGACTGTGCTTCCCACCTCTGTGTTGCCGATTGACACCTCTAATACAATCATTGAATAAATAAATAATAAACAAATAAACAAATAAATTACGGGAGCAAAGAGGATACTCAGTAATAAACAAATAAACTAATAATAAATGATTCAACTGGAAATCGATCAACAATACAAAGGAAGGTCAAAAACCGTAGAGGTACAAGGAACGCTCTGCTGGAAAATGGAAAATCATAAAAGTCCCCCAGATAAACACTTCTAGAAATAAAGTTACAAAAAGGTTAAAATTCAATAGAGTTAGAAGCTGCAAAAGAACCCCCAACGAATATTCTATGCTTGAAACTAACATATTATGTTCTATGAATCTTGGAAGAATGAAATTTTCAAAGTTATCGACAAAGACAGTTATTTGACCAAGACAGTACAGGCACAACTATAAACAATTTCGGCAAAATGACCATAAAAATCAATAATATACCTAATTTGCAGTACTCACCGGCAAGAGATTATTTTTCGATGAAATCAATATTTAAGTAGTTATAATCAATTACAGATCTAGTCGATCAAAACCTAACCAAGTCTCAAAGAAAAGATGAATCATCTCTCAAAAAGCAAAATTGAGATTGAGGAAACGTGAACAATCGTAAACCGTTGAATTAATAATATATCCATCTCCAATAACCAATAGAAGATCAATTAGACAAACGAAAAAGAAACAAGTAGTGATACGTAACATAATAAAGAAAGGAAACAATAATTGAAGGTAATTGAATTATAAAATCAAAACTGTCAGTTAAAAATTGTAAAATAGTATTTAAGAAAATAGTATCAGACGACAGGAAATACGGAGAATAAATGCAAAGGCTACCACACGAAGCGTGGGACCGCTCAGTCAGCGACGAGACAGCTTGGCGGCGTATAAACATACAAGTCCCATCATGCGGAACGCTCGCGCCTGAACACCAGTAGGAGTATACTACGCCTCACCATACACAACAGTCGGCGCATTGCTATATCGAAAGCCCCACCACACGCCAACGACGCGCCACGGCCTATCTTAGTATTCCTCCAGAGCATCGATACATTGAGCAACACTGCACTCTAGACGCCCACTACGGCCCACCTCACTACTAGGACGGCCAGCATAAAAAGAGGACAGAAGCTCGAGTCCAGGCACATTCCGCGCAGAGACCGCAGACATCGCATACATTTGACATTTTACATTCCGGTTCGCACCTCGCGCTCATCCATTTCCATCCGCATCTCGCGATTTGCAATTTCTTTTACACTAACTAAACAATAGTTTATCTTTATTATAATTTCAAGTTAGAAGTCAGCATTTTGTGAAAAAATAAACAAAGTATATCAAATGGTAATTTACTTCGTCTTAATTGAAACCAAACATAAACAAGATCGTTGAATTTCGGCGGTTTGTTTGAATCAACCGAGAACCCGCACCGCGCAACTATGTACCTATCATTCGGATAATCGTTGTCCTTTAGGTTTCTTTATTAAAAATTAACTCCAGGATTTCTAGATGTAGCGATTCGCCCGTTAATGGCCGTTGAAATATCTTGAAATACACACGAGGGAATTTTCGGTAAAGCTAAATAGGAATATTAGCCATTTGTAAATCTATTTCGAATCTTCTGGATGCCGCGATTCGCCCTCAATTAGCTGTTGCAACATCCTGAAGGCCTTACGAATTATTTCAAATGGCAGTATTAGGAATGCACATTTAGAAAACGCTCTCGGTTTACTGGACGCCGCGATTCGCCCTTGCTCGGCCGTTGCAGCATCTTGAAAACCTTCACGAACAATTCTAAAGTGTGAAATAATCTCCTAATCTTGAATGTTTCCGAGAACAACTTATCGTGTGCGATCCGCCCCAGTGGCCGTTGCACCGATTGGGTAGTTCGCAGAGGTAAAATCGTTCTAGATTATGTATTAAAAAAACAATGCCCTCCTATAACTAACCAATCAATTTTGCCGAGACGACTAGAATATCAACATTTCTGCTGTTATATTCTAGGAACTGCATTACAAGTGTTCTCCGTTGATTCATTTCATGTCGAATTTAAATTCGACGCCAGAAATTTCATAAAAATTTACTAATAAATGAAAATCCACATCATAGATAGTATGACCCAGTGAATAATGTACAAAGAACAATAAGTGAACCAGTAGAAATAATTAACCATTGAAGAGGACTGCAATCTGCCAAGGGATTATCAACCAAACTGGACTTCCAGAGTCCCGATACGGCCAACTTCCATAAAGGATTAATCTGAATTCTCCTGAGATCGCAGAACGAGAAAGGTAAGTAAAAGATGAAAACAAGTGAAATTCCTCTTTCTACTCGGAGATCAGTCGATACTCCACAAATGAGAGTTTAATCAAGAATAAGTTATATATTCCGCGGCCACTATTGAGATTGAAAGATCGGAATAACATC